CAACTCTTTCGCTGGAATTGACTCTTAATACTTCTCACACCACGGTTAATGGTATGGTTTATAACATGATTATAACAGTGCCTCGCAGCTGTTTCTCTCCTCTGTTCCGACCATGATGGACTCGTCCGTCTGAACGGGGCTTGTAGCGGTCCGTGGTGCTGATGTGGAGGGCAAAAATCCATCAGCTCAGCTGATTGGAGAATATATAGTTTATTGATAACATTGAGGTAGCTTATATTTTAGTTTTTTTTATCTCTTTACTATATGGTATTCATTATATAGTGTAGTGTATACCCAGTTGCTGTTAATAGCTCTGCTTATTGAAGAATATATTGAGTACATTTATTATTTTTCGATTTAAAGCTTTCGTGACTGCAATGATTCATCTTCTTTGGTTCTTTCGTTAAAGTCACGTAGAATGAGAATAAAATAATAAATTGATAAAATAAAATAACACAATAATATTCTCACGACGTTTCGGCCACAACACAAGCGGCCTTCATCAGGTGAAGGGACGAGACTGTCTGGCTGTCCTACCAGACAGTCTCGTCCATTCACCTGATGAAGGCCGCTTGTGTTGTGGCCGAAACGTCGTGAGAATATTATTGTTATTTTATTTTATCAATTTATTATTTTATTCTCATTCTACGTGACTTTACCGAAAGAACCAAAGAAGATACATTTATAATATTGATGTAATTTAGACTTAGGTTTTTTCACATCGGTTTACTGTATGATAGTTGAGTTGTTGCAGCCCCTTTGGCGTCCATGCACTAGGTGCCTCTGTGGATGTGTAGGCTTTGACTTTAACATAGCTATTTCTGCGACCAGTCACAATATAATCCCTCAACTGTTTCAATGCTAAATTCTCCTCTTTGATATGTAAACCCCTTTGTCAAGGTGCCTCACTTCTCTCAACCACCTTAAAAGACGCTGCGAATCTTAGCAGCGTTCATTGTAGCTCTGTCGTCCCGACAGGTTTGTTCCTTTCACCTGAAGAAGGCCACTTGTGTTGTGGCCGAAACGTCGTGAGAATTTTATTGTTTTATTTTATTATTTTATTCTCATTCTACATGGTGACTTTACCGAAAGAACCAAAGAAGATGAATCCTTGCAGTCACGAAAGCTTTAAATCGAAATTAAATTTTTATACTTTTTGCATTGTGTACAGTCTGAAAAGTAACCACATGGCAAATTTCAAGTTTGTTGCATGTCGGAAAGTATGCTAAACATTTCGAACAGATACACATATTAATACATTTACATTTTATATATATAGACTAGCTTTACTACCCGGCTTCACCCGGGACTTGGATTCACCACGCCTGGCCGCCTTTGTCTCCCCAGTGGCGATGTTCACACACCACACGAGTTACTCGTTTGAGGCTGAGTCGACCTAGAGGAGACCTAGGAGCGGGAATCAAACTCGGGTCGCCGGGTTCGTAGCGCAATGCGCTAACCACTACACTACCGCTCCCCACACACAGTGACACACACACAGACACAAACACAGACAGCGCGCTAACCACTACACTACCGCTCCCCACACACACAGTGACACAACAACAACAACAACCGCCATTCGCCACTAAGTGGCGGTGACGTCACCACGACGCACGTGCCAGGCTATGTGCACCCTGAGGCCACGTGAAGTGTCGAACGCCCGCTGGCAGGAGGTCACGGGGCAGACCCAGGTGCCACGGGTCGACTGACTGAGATGACTGGCTGATGCACCACCTGTGCCCCCTACTGTGCCAACCTGCTGTGCTTTAGCCACCCGGCGCTCCGCTCGCTGTTGTGAGCGTCGCTCCTCCGCCCTCCGTTGTTGTTGGAGGGCGACTGCCTCCAACTGCCCAGTAGCATCCTTCACGAGCCTCCTCCACAGAGGCCGATCTTGACACCGCTGGTACCAGTCATCGGCAAGTCCACTCAGCTCCACGTCCTCCTGTACCACATCACTCCATCTCTTCTCTAGCCCGCTTAGCCCCCTCAATCCGGCCAAACAAAAGCTGTTTCGGCATGCGGTGGCTGGGCATGCGGGCTACATGACCCAGCCATCGCAGCCTTGCCTGCCGGAGGAGCTCACCGATGGGACCTTGCCCAGATCGTTCAAGGATTTGTGAGCTCCTCACACAATCCAGTCTGGTTAAACCCAGGATGGATCGTAGGCAGGCCAGCCTAAATGTTTCTAACCGGCGAAGATGTTCCATTAGGGGGGTCCACGTTTCGCAAGCGTAGAGAAGGGAGGGAATGACCGTGGCCGAGAAGACCTGAAGCTTAGTGCGGAGCGACAGACCAGGTAGCTTCCACACAGCGTTACGCAACCGATGAAAAGATATTGCCGCTCGACTGATTCGGAGTGAGACCTCTGCTGTTAAACTGGAGCCAGTCATAAGCACACTGCCCAGGTATGGGAAACTCTCCACTCTCTCCACAACTGCCCTATCACCGATTGGGAGTTGTGGGGGTGGAGTGTCCGATGGTACAAAATACCCAGGCAGGTGCTTAGTTTTGGTGGGGCTGATGGTAAGGCCCCACCTCTTAGTGGCACGCTCCAGTCTCAGCAGCAGCGTCTCCAACTCCTCCTCTGACTGAGCAGCTATTACCAAATCATCAGCATACATAACGTGGTTGAGCAATAGGGAGCCATCCCTTGACCGCACCCGGGCATCGATTAGCCTCCCATTATATCTGTACCATATGGAGATTCCCCCGGTACAGCTATTGAAGGCTTCACGAACTACGTGGTCAAAATAGATGTTAAATAATGTGGGAGCCAGAGGACATCCCTGTCGCACCCCAAGGTGTACAGGGAATGGCTATGACTCCCGGCCACGTAGTTTTACCCAGGCCCGCTCACCATCATGAAGGTCCTTAATGATCGTGAGCAGAGGGTCAGGTACTCCAAAAGCACGAAGAACGACCCAGAGCCCAGGCCTACTGATGGTATCATAGGCCTTGACACACACACACAGACACACACACACAGACAGACACAGCGCGCTAACCACTACACTACCGCTCCCCCCACACACACACGCGCGTGCATCCATAGGTACACATACACGCGCTTGCTGCAGACACACAACTTTCAGGGTGCGTACGGCAGTAAACGACTGAAACAATAAACCAATGCTGCGTGAAGAACGCCTTAGACCTGCAACACATTTGTATGGCACTTTACCCGCGGAGGGTTGGGGGGGAGATGCGTGACGTCAGCAGGCACACTCCGTTACGCTTCCGCATACGGGTCACATGACAGATGTGACGTCACAACTCACAATTATGCAAAATATATGCATAATTGCGAACTCCCCCCTAAAAAAATATACAAAAGTTTATTTGTATAATTTTTGCATATTGTACAGTCCGGAAAGTACGCACAAGGAAAATTTCAAGTTTGTTGCATGTTGGGAAGTGCGCTAAACATTTTGAACAGACACATTCGCAAATTTCCCTTTTTTGTATATAGATAACCCCCCTCCCCCCTCACTTGGCACAAGAAGGGCACACAAGTGACGTCATCACATCCATCCCCTCTATTTAAGGAACTAAACAGGATTTCTCCACAAATCGGACGATTGTTTGATAAAGCTAGTTGTAATTACTGGAGAAACGTCGTACTCAGATTGTAAATGATGTGGCTTTACTCTCCAACACACCAGTGTGATGTACTGGTAATGAATTGGCATGTTCTGTTTACGTGACAAACCTTACTAGTTGGCTTTGTCGGGTGGTGGCGAGTTTCACGACACATTTATATATTTACGCGATCTAACCCTAAAAAACCTGTAGTGTTCGCGTTGATATTTGCTTTAAGGACCGTCCATAAATGACGTGACGCGATATTTGTGACGATTTTTGACTCCCCACCCCCCGTCACACGGCGTCACAAAAAGTCAGACCCCCCTCAAATATGACGTCACAAAGCTCTGCCCCCCTCCCCCCCAAAAAATAAAACATGCTTCAAATCGCTTTAAACTATTGTCATTGTAGTGCGTATTTAATGTGGCGCTGCACTCTGATGTTGTAGGAGAAAACATTTATTAAAACGTCTATTTAATTAAGTAGAACGTGTTGTCTATATTTAAAGTTGCGCATTTTTATGTGACGTCACATTTCTCAAACCCCCCCCAGGTGCGTGACGTCATTTATGTACGGCCCCTCAATTTACGGCACAGAATACCTCCCGATGATCAACCGCTGTTGTTGTTCCTCACCTGGCACCTCTCCCTCAACTTGATGACATCTCCATGCCATTTATATCTTTCCCATCCCTCTATCAATCAGCAATCGTGCCTTAATTATCATGCTGCATGCACTTATATTTTCGATGCGCTTTCCCCTCCCCACACTATCTCTGTAATTTGCACCACCTGCCCCTAAATTACAACGCCCACTCATCCCTATTACTCACTGACCCCCCGATTCTGTTGGTCGCTGGACAGCTCCCCCGACTTGGAGGCCCATCCCTGGGCATCCACATCTTAAATGTGCCAAGAGGTAAACTTTAAATCACTTGAGGATCATCCAAGGTGATCGATACAATGAGACCTCCTCGGGTCCCATTAAAACACCTTTCAGAATAAACGCCTCATTTCAGAACCAAAACATTGCACCCGACTTGAACATTCCTCGAAAACAATGTACAGGTACCATCACCTATAATCGGAGCATCAACAGGCTGATGCACACGTCTTCATGAATAGCAAATGAAAGACAAGCCACACTGCGAGTGTGACCATGCAACCCAAACTATGAACCGTAGAGTTAACGCCTGTAGTCTGCGCTCCATCAAAGGAGAAATAACAAAACTACACAAACTATCTCCCGAAGCCCTGTCGTGGCTAGTAGACCTCGACATTGGGATTTAGCTCATGAAAGATATTGCCATCATACTCAATAATAGAATTAGAACACCCTCCCCATCAAGTTTTAGTTCCGATCCATATATAATTCCCCCAGCACCGGCAAATTTTATGAACATCAAAGACTCACGGTAGGTGTGCAAGAGTGTACTTTATTGAGGAAGTTTAGGGAAGTTTTGTTTTAAATGAACCTTTTAATCGGAGTTGGATTCCTTGCCACTGGTCCTCCCCCACACCAGTACTGATCATATCTTCGTTGTGAGGATTAAGTTATTGTACTTCACCATGCTAGCCAGTGCAGGTTAGTAAAGGTGGGCATAGTACAGTACAACAAAGCAAATTACTGCACTATTTCTTTTTGCTGCCCACAATGTGTGTTGGATAAAAACTCGCAGCTGGTTAAGATATCACTTGTCACTGTTAGCCATGACCAACACTCGAATGATGAATTTATGAATTAATTTCCATGAATTCTGAATTACTCCTCTTACCCGAGCAAAAAAACACGAGCAATATTAACAAAGGAAAAATCATGCATACACATTGAATATGTAACGCTTTCCAACACGCGTGTCCTTAAAAAGCACATGAGGTGTGATATCAAGAGATTCCCACACATGATGAGGTGACCTCACGAAGTAATGATGTCATCAGCAAATGAGGCGAGGTCCGCCATGACTGAAAAGGTTTCTTCACTATCGCTTGGGTGTTTTCAGCCAATTTCTCAGAAACCCCCTTGATCAATTTGAATGGTGTGCTGCAGGATACGCCCGTAATATCAACATAACTTTATATTAACATTACATTTTTATTGACAAATGTTTTCCAGAGAATTATGACCCGATGGACAACGCTAATGCATGTGTGGTGATCACACTGGAACATGCACACGAAAAATTATACTTACCTGTACGGGGTTGGTGTCACCCCGGACCAAGACCCCGCCTGAGGGGAAGAGGCTGTGGAGTGTGTGTCATTCCGCACAGCCCTGCCCTTCGGGCGGGAAACGGCATAGACAAGTACAGACCGGTTGGGTTACCTATCGACAGGACCCCTCCTGAGGGGAGGGGGCTCTGTGGGATCTGTGATCCCACAGAACCCCGCTCCTCGGTCGGGAATCCCATAAAAAGGCGAGATCTTGAGAGGAGGAGGAGGCAGTTCGCCTCAAGCCGAAGTCGGGGACCCATCTGGAGAGAAGACCCTGGACCCCTTGCCCCGACGTCCGTGTCAGGACCGGGGCTCAGTGTGGTGCCAGTGGTCGGTAGGCTAGGACCCTGAGGTTCCCTCAGCCCGACGTCCTTCTCAGGACCGGGTCTGGATGGGCCAGTGGTCAGGGACCCACCGGTGCCAGCGGTGGGTCAGCCTCCCTTAGATCCAGCTAGCTGGAGGGCTATAGGGGTAGTCAGCCTAGCAGTTAAGGGTACGATAGCCCGGAGGCTGTACTTCCACAGGTTGTGGGTAGAAGGGGCCATTACCCCTTCGTGTTAAGGACCAAGTGTGCGCTGTTAGAAATTCAATAAAGAAACTTGTTGCCTTCTACAACATACAAGAATACCACACATGCATAATTTCACCCAAATAATAGGAGGGTTCATAAGGAGTTTCACTGTGTGTTAAAATTGGAGTCGGGGCATTGATGGGAGTGGCTTTTGATGCATACAACTTCAGCACTGGTGGAAAGTTACATAGGGATGTAGCTGTTGAGAAGTTAGGCTGCCAGTATGAAATCTTTATGGTTTCACCAAAACAGAATTTTCCTCGCTGGACTTCATACAGTATTTTTCCATGCACACGTGCCCAGCTGGACAGCAGTGCACTCCGTCGGCACAGCACACCGCCTGAAAGTAAAGTGTGTGTGCACACATACAAAAAAAGCATCACTCATGTCCACAAAATAATGCAGAATGACCACCTGGCAGTTTTAAGAGTATATTTGTGTTAATTTGATGAGGAACCAATGCAACATTTGCAATGTTAAATGTAGCATGGCCAATGCTGCCTTACAAATGCCAACTTTTCGGGATCCTTTGATCAATTTCAACGGTTTTCTATTCATAAGTCTCTAATCGTAATACAACTTTATTACGAACATTTAAGTTACATTTAAAATTGCAAATGTTGCATTCCAAAACTAGATCCTGATCGAATGAATTAAATATACTCATACAACTGCCACGTCATCATTCTGGATGTATGAATACATGGGAGCATTCACTATTCTGGCAAATCGCCTCAAGATGCTGGATGTCATTTTCAGCGATATGTTGTAAAGGTTATGGATCCACTCTTCAACACACTGGTGGGCTAAAGTTGCGTAATATTTGTCTTTTTGTCAACGTTCCACATTTTTTTACTGATTAGCCGTGTCGGGTAGGGGAGGGTTGCGACACATAAATAACGCCATCCAACCCAAAAACCTTCATGATTACATACTCTTTGTTTCTCTCGGTAAAGTCACGTAGGTGTACAATAAAATAAATCACGACGTTTCGATCGCAACACAAGCGGTCGTCCTCAGGCGGAAAAAAATATAATCCAGCAGTGGAACTGCCGAACCAGCCTGAGGACGACCGCTTGTGCTGCGATCGAAACGTCGTGATTCATTTTACTTCTAACTACGTGACTCCACCGAAATAAACAAAGAGCATGGATTCCCCCAGTCACGAAAGCTTCGAATAACCTTTATTATTAATAGATTGGGCAGATGAGTATATGATGGAGCAGCTGGGCACAAGGTTGTGGCTGCTCAAGACACAGTTTGCGAAGTTCAGGGAGGTCATCTTCTTGGTTGTTTCGGTAAAAGTCACGTAGAACGGAAATAAAATAATAAAAATAAAACATAATAAAATACAATTCTCACGACGAAGAGCTGTCGTCCCGACAGTTCTGTTCCTTCAGCTGAAGAAGGCTACTTGTGTTGTGTCCGAAACGTCGTGAGAATTTTATTTTATTATGTTTTATTTTTTATTATTTTATTGTTTCCCTTCTATGTGACTTTACCGAAAGAACCAAGAAGATGAATCCCTGCAGTCACGAAAGCTTTAAATCGAAATTCAGGGAGGTCATTATGATTTATAGAGGAACTAGCATCAACAGAGTTGCTTTCTAGTAGGAGGGTCCAAGCCCTCCCGTGCTGCTGGGTAATGCTCTCATGGACATGTGGCCCAACACTGCTGCTGTATATGGTCCGAGGGAGACCGACACATGTTTGCGCACCAGAATCTACAAAAACGTAAAGGACGCAAGCTGAAAATACAAGGAGATCTTACGCAGAAACGTACACGGCTATGCGTACCCTGGGCTGTCCAACATGAGTATGAAGCTTCGTTACAATAAAATTGTTTAAATTCAGTCAGGCACCGTAGCATAGCGCTCCAGTCATGTCACTGCATTGAAATATTTAACATATGGGAGCAGTGTCTGCATTAATGCTTCCAGAATACGATGATGACCTGCAGCAGTGACAAGCAGACGGACACTTACGTTTGGCACACCGCAGCATCCCCACGATCCAGCAGGGAGGCAGCAGCATGTGCTGTCGCCGGGGCAGTACCGGCGATTTGCACATGAGACACTGTTCACTTGCTTCTCCCAGGGCAGGGAAGCAGCCTTGGTGACAACAGCTGCAGCAGTTGTCATAAGGGTGGGCAGTGCCACCTCCATCTTTGCCCAGGGGTTGACCTCGGCTGAGAGTTGGCACTGGCCCAGATGACTGCCACTCACTCCCCGGCAACGTTTGTCCTTCGGACAGCCTCTGTCATCCATGCAGCCTTCCTGATGCTGTTTTGGGCTTGCACTTGTCGGCTGACCTGAACATATGAAGGATGAACACAAACAGTTCGTATGCGTGAATTCAATGGTAGCAGTAATACTCCACATTTTTTTTACTAAATAAAAACAGATCTCCTCACCCAATCATAGACTGGATTAAAGAGCCAAAGGCTAAATAGAGACTCTCACAGGCATACTGCCTGTTAGGCGGGGAGGGTGCCGGCAACAGACGAGCGACCACAAAGTTCTGGAATAAGAACCTGTCCCAAGAGGTTCCATCGCAGAAGAGGTCTAAAATCTGGCAGGCCCCAAGATCTGGCCCAAGATCAATGCCACCAAGGCTCATATAGTAGAAATGTATGCACGGCACTTACGTGGCAAACGAAAGAGCAGGGAAATTCATGGCGGTCCCCCCCCCCCCCCCACCAATTACCCTAGATGCCCCCCAAGCACAGTACAATCCCACTTGCACGCCTTTTCATCATGCCCAGATGTCACGAAACTATCCCAGGAGATCGAGGCCTTTTTTAACGACATCTGCGGCACCAACCTCTCCCCATCAGTTGAAACTATCCTGTGGAGCCTGAAACCCAATGACCGTTCGAGACACCAACACGCCCTACTCCCAACCTTCAACATCACAAACAGGAAAGCCATTCTGGCTAACTGGAAGGACCATTAACCCCTCCCTCATGGAAACATTGGCACAACATCCTGTTAGACCAAGCAGGCATTGAGCACCTGAGCCACTAGTATGAAGGAAAAGAATGGGAATTTGAGACAAGGTGGTCCCCCTTCCTACGGAGTCCAAAATGATGGGAAGGGTTGAGGGGGTCGGCAGATGGGGAACGAGTAAAAAGAGGGGCCGACCCCTTCAACGGACAAGTGGAGACAGGCCCAAGAATGAAGGGAAGTTGACATCCGCCCGTAAGCTGCGTGTAAATTATATGATTTGTAGAGCGTTCCTTTATTACCTCCCCCCAACTCCCCCATCTTAGCATGTTCGTTATTTCTCGGCTCCCTTTTCTCCCCCACATATAAACTTTAATACCCCACCCACGCATGGCAGCAGGTCAAACACTCTCTCCCTTAAGAACGGCCCTGCCCTAAAGACTAGACCCCCCCCCCCGCCACCGCGGTTTTTCTGTTCCCCTCCCTGCGGCCTCTGGCGCGTTGTACTGGGCTCGGGTTTTTTTGTCACAATAAGAACATAAAGAAGTGATCTTTGGTATATAAAGGGGCAACCCTTTCTCATCTGCTCTGCCACCAGCAGTAATGTTCATTGAATGATAATTAACCGATGTTTTAATGCTCATAGCTGGAATTTAGCCAAACTGCAGAAACACATTTAAATGCCATGTGTTTTGTGTGTGAATGCAGTCATTCGTGACTGAACTCATGACACGTGTGGCATAACCTTTATTCTCCTTCCTCTTTGTCAAAAGATTTCGACATGCTTTGCTTCGTATATGCATTTTCGACCAGTTCCCTATTTTTTTGTTTGTATCACGACCGTGATTATGTAACTAAGATTTGTACTCTACAACGTCTGTACCATCGTGGAACACCCATGAAATATAGCCATTATTGGGGCTTTTCTGCTAAAATAAATAATATATCTATCTATAACTAGTTTAATCACAGGAAGTTTGCCTGGATTCAAACCCAGGATATAAGCGGTGACAGTTCAGCACTCTAACCTATAAGCCACCTGGTCACCTTTATTCGCAAGACCTTTATTTATAAGCAAGTGTATTTGTCCTGCCTTTTTTTAAATCTTTTAACCCATTTTTACATTTGACATGAAAAGCATCGATAGAAGACTACACCAAGTGCACAACATATGAATCAGTTCCCTAGGCTGACTTCGTGGTGCCACGGTCCGCGGGATCTTAACGACCTCGCCTGGTTCAATCGTGGGTTCGATCCTGACCCTGACGCCCGATTCACATTTGGCGTTTGCATGCTTTCCCCCCGTGGTCCCGTGGATTTTTCTCCAGGTCCTCCATTTTTTTCATTCACATGTTTAGACATGATAAACCACTTCATTGGGCTATCATTTGTGGCCAAGTCACTTCTGAAAAATCGCTATACAGCTCAGTGTGCCTTACCTGGTAAAATTTAAAGTTTCGTTTAGTTATAGTTTAAACGAGTACCAGGTGTAGGGTGTAAACATCAGCAGTGGGAATTCACAAAGGCGGCTGAGTGTGGTGTTGGTCACCTTACCCCATCGTGTGCAGTGTGGGCCTTCATAGCTGTGCTAAATACACAAGCTCCAAAAGTCTGTTAAGGCTAAACAGGGGATCTTTGTATGGTGTCTGCGTGTGCATGTTTAGGAGATTACCATGTTTGTCCAAGAAAATTGAGTTTGTTCAAACACATACCTTTTCATAGACATGTACTGTATTCATATTCTTAGTTTTTTCGGTAAAGTCACGTTGAAGAGAAACAACAAAATAATAAAATATATATAAAACAATAAAAAATTCTCACGACGTTTCGACCATAACTCAAACGGTCGTCTTCAGGTGTGTTGGTTCGCATAAATTTATTTTTAAACAGCGCATTTACTTATTTATAAAAAAAACGTTAGCGCCACGTGCAACGATTTGGCAGTTTACCCAGGACTAGTCCATCTATATTCTGAAAAGAGGAGGGGGGAGACGAAATTTTTTATAATGTATGCTGTCTGAAAGCCACTGTAAGCGTGAACAATCAATTAAGACCTGAAATGGTTTATCAAATCTTTCCAATGATTGCTAAGATAGAATCCATCTTCTTGGTTGAAATTGTCTCTGTGCTTGTATATGTGGATAGCCTCATGAACGAATCTCTCATGGAAGCCAGATGGCTTACAAAGAACCTCTGTCTTGGAAAAGTCAATGGCATGTGAGCCTACTGAATTAGAACAATGATCTGCCACGGCCGAGGTGTTGGTCCTACCGTGTTTAAGGTCTGCTTTGTGTTCACGAATGCGGTCCGAGACATGGCGTTTGGTTTCTCCAATGTAACTACTACCACAGAGGCAACTTAGTTTGTAGACACCAGGGTATTGTATGTCCGGAATCACATCTTTTACAGACGGAACCAGATCACGGATTTTATGTAATGTGTTGAAACGGACCTGGATCTTGTGTTTATTCAAGATTTTGGAGATCTTTTTGTGATCCCAGCAATGTAGGGTAAAGTGATGGTTTTTAAAGGCTCCTCAAGAGGGTTCTTCTTCATGGTTTGAGTGATAGCTTTGCGGATTGTATAGTCGGAATAACCATTAGCCCTAAGAGCTTGGTGTACGTGCTTGAGTTCACTGCTTATGTGTTCCTGGTCGGATATGCATTGGGCTCTATGATACAGAGTCTTGATGAGAGAATTCTTCTGTGATGGATGGTGGTGGGAATCCGGTTTCAGATAAGTATCCGTATGGGTAGCTTTCCTGTAGACAGAGTGGCTCATTGAACCATCAGGTCTCTTTTTAATTAGGACATCCAAAAAAGGTATCTTGCCATCTATTTCGACTTCCATGGTAAATCTGATGGCTGGGTGTATGGAATTGATGTGGTCGAAGAATTGGTCTAGAGCAGGTCGGCCATGTGGCCAGATGACAAAAGTGTCATCCACGTACCTCTTCCATAAGGTTGGGCGCAGAGTGGCAGTCTGGATGGCGTCAGTCTCAAATTTCTCCATGAAAATGTTAGCTATAACTGGAGAAAGGGGGGAGCCCATTGGGGTGCCCTCAGTTTGTTTGTAGAAAGTTCCATTCCAAGTGAAGTATGTATTGGTTAAACAGTGTCTCACCAGGGGGGTTACCTCAGTGTTTAGTCCTTGATGAACCAAGTCTTCAATGATTGCAATGGTGTCAGGTACAGGAACCTTGGTTAATAAGGAAACTACATCAAAACTGACAAGCAGGTCGTCTGGGGACAGGGAAATACCCTTGATTGTCGATACCAGGCGAGTAGAATTTTGTACCACAGAGGTGGTCTTTCCAGTGAAAGGACGCAGGATTTCAGACAAAAATGTACTGTGTTCTTTCATGCACACTAGTTCAAAGAAAACACTTGTGGAATGAAGGATCGTGTCTCTTATTGACGTGCCTGTACATGTGTTGGCATGTATGCATGCATTGTCAGAAAATACCTGTGCGTTTCCAGCCACCTTCAGGGTAACACACGTGCATGTCCTCAACAGTGATGCATGTGTTGTTTGCAGCGCAGCATGCTCTTCCATCGGTGCAGCAAACACCCTGGGCAGCATAAAGCCAAGATCGATTCGCGAGTATATTAGATGTTTGCAACAAAGCAAGATGAAAATGTTGAGAGTATTTTAACATATTCTTAGCTCTTTCGGTAAAGTCACGAAGGGAAACAATAAAATTATAAAATATATATGAAACAATAAAAATTCTCACGACGTTTCGACCATAACACAAACGGGCATCATCAGGTGTGTCGGTTTGCATTAATTAATTTATTTGTAAACGGCGTATTTATTTATTAAAAAAACGTCAGCGCCACGCGCAGCGATTTGGCAGTTTATTTAGAAGGACTAGTACATCTATGTTCTGAAAAGAGGAGGGGGGAGACGAAAACTTAATGTATGCTGTCTGAAAGCCACTGTAAGCGTGAACAATCAATTAAGACCTAAAATGGTTTATCAAATGGCTACCATGAGAGATTCGTTCATGAGGCTATCCACATATACAAGCACAGAGATCATTTCAACCGAGAAGATGGATTCTGGCTTAGCAATCATTGGAAAGATTTGATAAACCATTTCAGGTCTTAATTGATTGTTCACGCTTACAGTGGCTTTCAGACAGCATACATTAAGTTTTCGTCTCCCCCCTCCTCTTTTCAGAACATAGATGGACTAGTCCTTCTAAATAAACTGCCAAATCGCTGCGCGTGGTGCTGACGTTTTTTTTATAAATAAATACGCCGTTTAAAAATAAATTAATTAATGCGAACCGACACACCTGATGACGACCGTTTGTGTTATGGTCGAAACGTCGTGAGAATTTTTATTGTTTCATATATATTGTATTATTTTATTGTTTCCCTTCAACGTGATTTTACCGAAAGAGCTAAGAATATGAATTACTGCAGTCACGAAAGCTTTAAATCAGTATTTTAACACTGTAACACAAAGGCAGTAATCCCATTTCACTTGTCAGGGTTATATGATGTTTAACTCAAGAGTTGTTTCCTGCTCAGCTGAGTGCAAAACCACGCTCAGTTCTGTTTGCAGTTCTGAACCAGTGCTGGAACTTCCACAATCCAATGGCAGGAGAGAATCTACACAAAAAGGACAACCACTGTCGATGAAGAGTTCGGTTAACAGCCGACTGGGATTTGAACTTGTAACCTTCCGATTGGAAGGTGTGCACTCTCCCCGCTGCGCCATCCATTCGAGAATCCTGTTAATTTAGCATTTGCTGTGGCAAAATAATAAGTGAGTTGTGTGGCATGTTACAGCTCTGAATGCTGTTGACACACCACACTGCTGATGACACGTCAGGATAAATGTTACTAGAACAGGCTCCAAAAATGTTTAAAGTGCTCCACCTTTCATCAGCACAAGTATGTGTGCATGTGAGCTCCTAAATCCAAAAGCAAACACATTGTTGAATCACATGTCACTTCTGCAGCGATATTTACCTATTTGGTTGCAGTTAAATTACCTCTAATTATGGCTGGGAGTAAACCTTATACATATAAACCTCATACAATTATCTTTGCTTTGTCTGGTATTGTACACATCACAGGCTGAAGATGTTGATCTAGAAGTTAAAAAGTGTTTAAATAAACTGAAAATTTATTGTTTATAAAATTATTCGCTTTGGCAAGCTGGAACTAGACTGTGATAAAACTAGCCTCCAGAACACACCTGGCCTTTCTCAGAGTCAAGCAAGGCCAGAAATGACATGTTCATTGCATGTGATGTCAGTACACAGAGGAGACAGCATCACCATGTCTTCTACACGTGATTCGACTCATTTGTTGCAATTGACGTTAGTGGCACGGCCCAACTTTTGCAGTGGAAAAACAACTTGGTGCCTTCTGAGCCGCACGAGGGATACTCAGCACGGCCCTGGCATGGCTCAGTTGTATGTTGAACAGTTTATGAGTCTTTCAAATCGATGCTTAATGCTGTACGGCATCACTGCATGAGCCACGTACTGCTGGGGCAGGACAGCAGAGCGGTTCTCCACTGTGCAAGCAGATGGGGCCGGAGCAGTCGATGGAGTCTTCAGATTCCGCAGGAAGGAGAGCGACTGCTGGAATGACGTCACTTTGTTCAGCAATCTGTTCCAGGATAAGAACACGTAGCACACAAATAAACATCCCACTGTTTAGAATGATGGACTGTCATCATATGGCCCCAATGTCCATAACGAGAAGGTGGGGGGGGGCTCTCCTGGAAGAGTCGGCAGATATTTAATGAATAAATATAGAGTGGTGACAAGCCATAGCCTCCAGAAGTATGTTCCTTTGGTTGAGTCTTCCGGTGGCAGAAGACATCTTGTTCGAGAGGCCATGAGGTGTCCGCTATCTTCAGATATATTGCTCCCAGCCTCACTAAAGAATGCCTTGCAACAACGTGGAAAGTTATCAAGAGAATCCCGAAGACCTGCCTGGAGAAACAGACAACTTTGGATAAATTTTGATTTAAAGCTTTCGTGACTGCAGTAATTCATATTCTTAGTTTTTTCGGTAAAGTCACGTTGAAGAGAAACAACAAAATAATAAAATATATATAAAACAATAAAAAATTCTCACGACGTTTCGACCATAACTCAAACGGCCGTCTTCAGGTGTGTTGGTTCGCATAAATTTATTTTTAACCGGCGCATTTATTTATTTATAAAAAACGTTAGCGCCACGCGCAGCGATTTGGCAGTTTACCCAGGACTAGTCCATCTTTATTCTGAAAAGAGGAGGGGGGAGACGAAATTTTTTATAATGTATGCTGTCTGAAAGCCACTGTAAGCGTGAACAATCAATTAACTGAAATGGTTTATCAAATCTTTCCAATGATTGCTAAGATAGAATCCATCTTCTCGGTTGAAATTGTCTCTGTGCTTGTATATGTGGATAGCCTCATGAACGAATCTCTCATGGAAGCCAGATGGCTTACAAAGAACCTCTGTCTTGAAAAAGTCAATGGCATGTGAGCCTACTGAATTAGAACAATGATCTGCTACGGCCGAGGTGTTGGTCCTACCGTGTTTAAGGTCTGCTTTGTGTTCACGAATGCGGTCCGAGACATGGCGTTTGGTTTCTCCAATGTAACTACTACCACAGAGGCAACTTAGTTTGTAGACACCAGGGTATTGTATGTCCGGAATCACATCTTTTACAGATGGAACCAGATCACGGATTTTATGTAATGTGTTGAAACGGACTTGGATCTTGTGTTTATTCAAGATTTTGGAGATCTTTTTTGTGATCCCAGCAATGTAGGGTAAAGTGATGGTTTTGAAAGGCTCCTCAAGAGGGTTCTTCTTCATGGTTTGAGTGATAGCTTTGCGGATTGTATAGTCGGAGTAACCATTAGCCCTAAGAGCTTGGTGTACGTGCTTGAGTTCACTGCTTATGTGTTCCTGGTCGGATATGCATTGGGCTCTATGATACAGAGTCTTGATGAGAGAATTCTTCTGTGATGGATGGTGGTGGGAATCCGGTTTCAGATAAGCATCCGTATGGGTAGCTTTTCTGTAGACAGAGTGGCTCATTGAACCATCAGGTCTCTTTTTAATTAGGACATCCAAAAAAGGTATCTTGCCATCTATTTCGACTTCCATGGTAAATCTGATGGCTGGGTGTATGGAATTGATGTGGTCGAAGAATTGGTCTAGAGCAGGCCGGCCATGTGGCCAGATGACAAAAGTGTCATCCACGTACCTCTTCCATAAGGTTGGGCGCAGAGTGGCAGTCTGGATGGCGTCAGTCTCAAATTTCTCCATGAAAATGTTAGCTATAACTGGAGAAAGGGGGGAGCCCATTGGGGTGCCCTCAGTTTGTTTGTAGAAAGTTCCATTCCAAGTGAAGTATGTATTGGTTAAACAGTGTCTCACCAGGGGGGGTACCTCAGTGTTTAGTCCTTGATGAACCAAGTCTTCAATGATTGCAATGGTGTCAGGTACAGGAACCTTGGTGAATAAGGAAACCACATCAAAACTGACAAGCAGGTCGTCTGGGGACAGGGAAATACCCTTGATTGTCGATACCAGGTGAGTAGAATTTTGTACCGCAGAGGTGGTCTTTCCAGTGAAAGGACGCAGGATTTCAGACAAAAAACGAGCTAGTTTGTAGGTGGGGGAGCTGATAGTAGAGACTATGGGACGAAGAGGTGTATCTACTTTATGTATTTTTGGTAAGCCGTATAATCTTGGTGGCCTGGCAGCAGAAGGTTTCAACGAAAACTGTTTAGATTGATCAATTAATGCGGTTGAATCAGAAATTATTTTGTTGGTTTGTGTGACGAGGCTGTTGGTGGGATCTCTTTTTATTTTTGTATAACTACCATCGTCGAGTAATTCTTTAATTTTGTTGTTGTATTCTATTTTATCCATGATGACAGTAGCATTGCCTTTGTCAGCTGAGAGGACTACAATATCATTCCTCTTTTTTAATTTATATAATTCAAAACGCTCATCTTTGCTGAGGTTGCTAGCGTTTTTGAGGGCTGCAGCGATTTCAGATCTTGCTACGTCTGCAGCGATGTGACCCAGGCCCCTGAGAGCAACGTCTACTTGGGCAATTATATCATTAACTGGTATGTGTTTAGGTGTGACTGCAAAGTTTAGACCTTTAGCTAAAACGGATTTCAGACCATCGGAAATAGAACTGTTACTGCGATTAATTACGACTTTATTAACGTCTAACTTTTTGGTGTGTGGGTCCGGTCTTTTGTTGAAGAGGAGGTTAAATTTGGAAATCAGGTTTTCCTTACATTTGGTCGACATAGTAGCAGCTGAAGAGGCAGTCATATTGTCTACATGTTCCCAATCCGATGTGGACAATATTTCCGTCAATTTTTTTTATTGTTTTATATATATTTTATTATTTTGTTGTTTCTCTTCAACGTGACTTTACCGAAAAAACTAAGAACATGAATTACTGCAGTCACGAAAGCTTTAAATCAAAATTTAATCACCTCTACGGGGAGGGTTTTCACATAACTTTAAGATCCTTCAACAAACTCCGGGATAAGAAAGCTCAGCTGATCGAGTCTCTCACCTTCCTGAAGAGATGCCGCGACTCTGGGGTAATACCAATCGCATTTACACTGACCTCTGCTGCTGTAACTTCTTCTAATGCGAAACGAATTCTTTTCAAAACTAGCTTAGCTCTTATCTCAGAAAAAATCAGACTTATACGCACAGAACTAGATCAGTTAGACAAGACACTCTACAAATCACACTTATCATTGACGGCAATAATGTCCACATCGGATTGGGAACATGTAGACAATATGACTGCCTCTTCAGCTACTACTATGTCGACCAAATGTAAGGAAAACCTGATTTCCAAATTTAACCTCCTCTTCAACAAAAGACCGGACCCACACACAAAAAAGTTAGACGTTAATAAAGTCGTAATTAATCGCAGTAACAGTTCTATTTCCGATGGTCTGAAATCCGTTTTAGCTAAAGGTCTAAACTTTGCAGTCACACCTAAACACATACCAGTTAATGATATAATTGCCCAAGTAGACGTTGCTCTCAGGGGCCTGGGTCACATCGCTGCAGACGTAGCAAGATCTGAAATCGCTGCAACCCTCAAAAACGCTAAGATGCCAGCTAGCAACCTCAGCAAAGATGAGCGTTTTGAATTATATAAATTAAAAAAGAGGAATGATATTGTAGTCCTCTCAGCTGACAAAGGCAATGCTACTGTCATCATGGATAAAATAGAATACAACAACAAAATTAAAGAATTACTCGACGATGGTAGTTATACAAAAATAAAAAGAGATCCCACCAACAGCCTCGTCACACAAACCAACAAAATGATTTCTGATTCAACCGCATTAATTGATCAATCTAAACAGTTTTCGTTGAAACCTTCTGCTGCCAGGCCACCAAGATTATACGGCTTACCAAAATACATAAAGTAGATACACCTCTTTGTCCCATAGTCTCTACTATCAGCTCCCCCACCTACAAACTAGCTCGTTTTTTGTCTGAAATCCTGCGTCCTTTCACTGGAAAGACCACCTCTGCGGTACAAAATTCTACTCACCTGGTATCGACAATCAAGGGTATTTCCCTGTCCCCAGACGACCTGCTTGTCAGTTTTGATGTAGTTTCCTTATTCACCAAGGTTCCTGTACCTGACACCATTGCAATCATTGAAGACTTGGTTCATCAAGGACTAAACACTGAGGTACCCCCCCTGGTGAGACACTGTGTAACCAATACATACTTAACTTGGAATGGAACTTTCTACAAACAAACTGAGGGCACCCCAATGGGCTCCCCCCTTTCTCCAGTTATAGCTAACATTTTCATGGAGAAATTTGAGACTGACGCCATCCAGACTGCCACTCTGCGCCCAACCTTATGGAAGAGGTACGTGGATGACACTTTTGTCATCTGGCCACATGGCCGGCCTGCTCTAGACCAATTCTTCGACCACATCAATTCCATACACCCAGCCATCAGATTTACCATGGAAGTCGAAATAGATGGCAAGATACCTTTTTTGGATGTCCTAATTAAAAAGAGACCTGATGGTTCAATGAGCCACTCTGTCTACAGGAAAGCTACCCATACGGATGCTTATCTGAAACCGGATTCCCACCACCATCCATTACAGAAGAATTCTCTCATCAAGACTCTGTATCATAGAGCCCAATGCATATCCGACCAGGAACACATAAGCAGTGAACTCAAGCACGTACACCAAGCTCTTAGGGCTAATGGTTACTCCGACTACAATCCGCAAAGCTATCACTCAAACCATGAAGAAGAACCCTCTTGAGGAGCCTTTCAAAACCATCACTTTACCCTACATTGCTGGGATCACAAAAAAGATCTCCAAAATCTTGAATAAACACAAGATCCAGGTCCGTTTCAACACATTACATAAAATCCGTGATCTGGTTCCGTCTGTAAAAGATGTGATTCCGGACATACAATACCCTGGTGTCTACAAACTAAGTTGCCTCTGTGGTAGTAGTTACATTGGAGAAACCAAACGCCATGTCTCGGACCGCATTCGTGAACACAAAGCAGACCTTAAACACGGTAGGACCAACACCTCGGCCGTAGCAGATCATTGTTCTAATTCAGTAGGCT